ATGTCCTTCCACCATACCCTGGAGTATGAATCGCAGAACGGTTTTCCAGCGAGGTCCAGCTCGCGATCGCCTCTGCTTGCGCTGATCACAGTACAACGCCAACCGAGGATCGCTAACCCAATCGGCGGAGGGAATCGGAAAAGTGTGGGTCGACTCCCACAACGTCTGAATATAACGATCCTCGAATGAGTGGTACAGATCCGGCAACCGTTCGAGCCACCCAGTAGGCGGGAAGGACGCAGGCGCGATCTTCACCTTCAGAAAGTTCCGAGGCTCCTGGCGGTAAAATGTGGCGATCTGCACCAAAGAAACCAGGCGAGAAGACTACTCCAACAGAGGAGGTGTTGTCGACGTAATGGGAGGAGCTGGGAAGGGGTAATGTTTCGGCCTGGCAAGATGGATGCAGAAAACCCCCAGTTCCAGTTTAGATATGCTGATCCAGTTCACCCGACGTGCAGACCAAGGTAAAACTTGAGCAGAAGATCATGGAACGCGACACCGAAACCCAGGTATTCATTAATAGCGGGACATCTTAGTCTGGGGAAGAGCATCGTACTCGGCTGAAGGCAACAGCGTGTTGACGAGAGGTCGGAATTCTTCCGCAACATTGATCGCGCCATCCGAACTGCAAGAGGCTTCGCCAAACAAGTCGACCTTGGAAGTCTTGGTATTGGGCGTAAGAGAAGCAGCAATCGGGGAAGCAGGAGAACCCGATGTAGGGCTAGGGGTGTCCACAACGGTCATCTAGGGCGAAGTGGAGGTCGGATTCAGCGGGCCACCGGGCGGAACTATTCGCCAGGAAGAAGCGCGCGATCGGGAGAGTGCAGCCAAAGTTTGGGACTCCGCATCTGATGACTCATCAGCGTCCAAGCGGAGCGTATCAGCGTCCGAGACGAACAGTCTACCTTTCCCCTTACGACCACCAGATTCGGACGGAACGGGTGGCTGGGGCGATTGCTTTGCCGTTGATCGCTTGGAACGGCGGGAGGGATAGGGAATGCTGTCCTTCAGATTCCTACCAGGTGAAGAAAACGTGGTGGAGACGTCGGCCACATACAAAGCCTAAGTATTTGAAGACTGCGGGGAGGTCCGGGTAGTAGAGAAAACCATTTTCTTGGCCCTTTTGTTCCGCCGAGAAAGAACTAAGGCGAAAGATCTGGGACGTTTGCCACGGGGGGTCATGGACTTCGCTGATACTTTTACACTTGATGGCTCAGAACGGGATGGGGTCCACGACAAAATGGGAAAAATGTGGACGGATACGCTGGTATTGAATGAGGCAATACTCGCCCGAAGAGCATCCCGATCGCGCAATGCTAGATCGCGCTCTGGCTCTAGATTTGAGATCTCAGTCTGGATATGACCCACTTAATTGTCCCGATCGGCGAGAAATGAGCGTAACCGATCGCGGTCGACTTCGAGTTCAGCGAATCGTCCCGACATTGACCGCGCTCTACCACCAGTGCCTCAAGAGCATCGCGCACACGGCAAACCTTGGTCTGGACCTGAGAATAGCCAGTCTTGTGTAGGTCTTTATTCTATTGGACCTTCTGAAGTCTCGTGGTCTCTTGGGTGAGTGCAGCATGCATTCGGGCATTTCCCTCATCCATGTGCTGTCGCAAGGCCGGTAACGCCCGATCGTGACGTTTGTGTGAAGCATAGTGCGTTCGAGTCGCCTTCAAAATCTTCAACTTTAAGTTGTTATTTTGCTGCTTCTGACACTGACCCGCTTGGAATTCCTTCCAAATAAGGCGGCCTCCGCGCGCGCATCTTCGAGGTCCAAGCGAAGACGATCATAGCGGACTTGAACAAAAGTCACAAACGGAGAGACCTGTTCAGCAAGGGAAAGGAGCTCTAGCCGATCACATCGACGGGTCTGTTCCCTCAACGCTTGCTCCAGATAGTAGTAGCCTTCGACGAAGTCTTGCTGATACGTGATACGCTGATAAAGACCAGTAGGCATCTCGATCGCAGCCGCTTGATCGGCTATCGCGGCGATTCGACTTGAGCGGTCGGCAATGGAATCGCTCCGGTGGGGCTGAAGTCCATGTGTCCGATCGTCATCAGAGGTTGCAAGGATGGCACTGAGGATATACCTGTAGTGGTATCACATGAAGTGCCAGGCGATGCATTTACTGATGTCAATGTAGAGCCAACCGGGTAAGGTAACAAGTCACTAGCGGAACGCACGTCGGGCGAGGCACGACGGAACGTGGACGGTGTAGACGACGTGGACGCCATGGCTAACGGTAAAACGGAAAAGGACGACTGAACACGGAACAAGCCAGCCGAATGTTGTGGTTGTGGATCGAATATTTGTGCAGGGGGTGATTGTGATAAAGCCGATCAAGATCGGGTCTAAAAGTCTAGGCGATTCAGCCAAGTACGAGGTGGTATTGGCTGAATTGCTCGTGGTATGATATCCAGCTATTTAGATGTTACCGTTGTGAGAACTTAACGGGCTCAATCCCGTCTTATCCGCACGGACTAACATGTAGAAATATCAAGGAACCTTGATCAAGGGACCGCAATCAAGGGACTGCAATCAAGGGACCGCGATTAGGGGAACGCGATCAAGGTACCGCGATAAAAGAACCGCGATCAGGGAACCACGATATGGCGGGGGCCACGTGGTGTAGAATAAATTCAAATCCATTTAGCATGGAGAAGACACGTGGCGGTCAATCCTGACATACGGAGTAGGCGTGGTTATTGTTTCGGGTTTTAGTTGGTTAACATTAAAAAGAGTTGAATTTGCTCTTAAAGAATCGCATGTGTTTTAGAAGCAAATTCAACTCTCTTTAATACTAAACAACGAAAACCCAAAACTGTAAGGGAGTTCAAATTGCTTTTAAACACATGCGTCTCATTCTTCTTCCGAGTTAAATGTTTTGGCCTCCTAACATCAGAGAACTTCGACACCAAGGGCAGGAAGACCACTCCTGGAGTTATTTCGGACAGGAATGCAAAGACTCTTAACAAACCTCAACTGCGATCGGACACAGGCAACCTTACTGGTTGAAGTACAAGATCGAGAGGCGGCTCAAGTGGTCAGAAGGCTCGCGATTCAAGTACCCCATTTTTGGCACAAGGCCATCAAGGCTGATCGCGGCGACTCTAGGAGAGCGCCAACCAGGAACAGGCGATCGGGTGAGGAATTCCACCCGATCGACACCAACCTTTAAAACGATCAAGTTCAGCATCGAGTCAAGTCCACCGAGAAGAGTGCAACCCGCCCTCCCGACAGGTAAACAAAGTGAGGAGGAAACAAGCGCAAGCGGAATCGGAGTACCCCCTCTGTTAGTCGGTTGTTTGGGCGCCAGTGGGGAGTCGGGATCGCCTCATAAAATGAGCGAACCCACTCCACCACACCGAGATGTCTTGTTTTCCCGGTAATGTGATCGCCCGTTTTTAAACTTCCGAAGTCTTTGTATGCAGCGAGTAATCACAATAAATCAGTCATCAACGTATTCTCATAGAGCTCAGCATGTCCGATTTGTAAAGTGGGCATTCTCTTGATTCTGTACGATCCAATTTACATATTTAAAAAGCATAGAAGTCAAAATTGATGCAGTTGTACGTACCTCTTTTATAGACGGCGGTAGAATAGGACGATCAGTTGTCATAACTCACTACAACAAAAAGGTTTAAATGGCATTTTATCTTCAAAAAACGTGTATTTCACCGTGGCTGCATATCTCACTATCACATTGTACCTATTCGTTCGCTCCCTCAAATTCCAATCGTTGCCCTTTTGGGGGTGCTAAAAAAAGGACAGCGGAAATGAGTCACCTATCGTGCAGTGTGTGAGCACAACTAACAACGGAGTTGCAGTGCCTGACGAGAACATTGCTGTGTGCGTCCGCATGCGGCCCTTGGACGAGCGCGAGAAGTGTTTGCGTGACGTATTCGAGATCTAGTGCGTGCCGTCGCTCAACACAATCCCTCTCATGAATATGAGACAGGAGCGTCGCTCTCGAGCAAAATAACTTGTTTCAGTCAGATGACATCCTTGACGTCAGCAGCGACGCTCAAGATGTTCTGCAGCGCGCGGTACGTCGCAGTATGCACTCGAAGCTACGAGGCATCAAGGAGCGATCAAGGCGTACGTGCATTCAAGCTAGGGTAAGATTTTCACGACGCACGGGACGGAGGTATCCCGTGCGGAAACGATCGTGATACGCATCGTACCAACTTCTGTAGTAGGCAGCCGAAGACATTTTCCAATTTATTGAAGCGCGTGACAATCGCGATTTTGTAGAACGTGTCTGTTTTTTAAGGTTTTTACCGAAGTAGTGAAAAACCTACTGGCGCTAAGTGAATATGACGCGAGATTGAAGCTCCGGGAAGATTTAAGAAAAGAGTCTACATTGTGTTTAAAGAGATGATAATCAAGACTAATTACGACATGGTGATGTGGCTACGGGTGTGCAATCATAAAATTCCTGTGGATGAAACGGCCATGCTCAACAAGAGTTTGTTTGCGCTCACACAACGTCTTTCGTATTGTCGTCAAGAGCAAGCAGAAGGACGTCCCGAGGAGACTTTCGTAAGAAGACGAGGATCGAGCGTTGCTCGTCTCTAGCTTGTATTTTGTGGATTGAGCTCGCTTGGAGAGGCTTCGACAAACAGGTGCGAATGGCATTCTGTAACGGGCCACCCCGTTTCATAAGTAGGTTCGATTAAGTTTTCATGTTACTTAAGTAGGGGTGTTACTTTCGGAGTAGCGAAAGTAGCACGTCGTATATTTTTGCTGGTTTAATGGGCTCAGTACCATTATTAGCCAGTAAGATATAGGCACGTAGATTGAGTGGTTCCCATGAGTCCAAGGGAACCATTCATACTTAGGATGATTTAAAAGACAAAAATATAAACAGAGTTAAAAATGCTTAATACCTAAGACTTGGGCTTTAAGCTTCCTCAAAGCGTTAGAAATAGTGTACGCTAAGTACGGGTCATTCTAGACCCGTTACACCTGGTAGCACTTCGTAGTCCTTCACATGCCCGAGTTTGGGATGAGCGATTCGTCGTACTTTGATGCTCCAGACGTGAGTCTGGAGCACGCGACTTTTCCCCATCTCACTGGTGTTGAGTGGAATGCCCCAAATCGCCTCGCGGCGATATCTGGAGAGGCATTCGTTGTGTCGCTGATGAGATCAGCGACTCCTGATGGACAGCGTCTCGCCATACACGACTACATGGCTCGCGAGCTCGCCGAATCCCATCGGCGAGGTTTAACTCCCTCGCGGACTTCACGGAACGATGCCGTGAAGATGGAGACCTCCGCCTATTCTGGCGAAGGAAAAGAACGCTTGTCGTTGTCTCGTTGGTTTCGAGAGGTCGACATCGCTATCGCCTCGAGACTTCTCGAGGCTCCTCAAGCGAAGGTCAATTTCCTTCTTTCCCGTCTCACTGGGAAAGCCAAGGAGTGGGCCTTGGGAAAACTCGTTGTTGACGAGTTTGCGTTCCCCACTCTGGAAGCCATCCAGAGTGACCTTCGACTCGCCTTCGAGCCTCCCCAGGAAGAGAAGTTGGTGCGTTCAAGGTTCCTGTCCCTGCGACAGAGTAAGATGTCCATGCGCGACTACATGCAGATGAATCGATATCTGGCGTCTTTCATTATCACGCATCCCATGGACATGTATACACAAGTGAACGTGTTTGTCGATGGTATGCGTGAAGGGCAGACTCGCCTCTCGCTGGAACGAGCAGAGCCTGCCACGTTGGAGGAGGCTTTCGCTATCGCTCTCCGTGAGGACTTCAGAGTCACCAAGGCCTATACCAAGCCTTCAGTTGTTACCGCTGTCAGATCAGCGGGCCCGGAACCTATGGAGATCGATGCAATTGAGTCGTCGGGTGACCGACGACGTGCTACAGCCTACAAGGGCGACGTCCGAGGCGGACGTCAGATGATCTGCTTTCGATGCCGAAAGCCGGTATATCGCGCGGCTGAATGCCGCGCGCCAGCACCGATGTCGGTGCATGCGACGGACACCCATCATGAGGGAGGTGCTCCGATCAGTCGTCCAAAAATGGACGAGACCAGTAGGTGCAGGGCGCCCTACTGGTTTGAAGGGAGGTCCGGGTCCACCGGTGGCAGCCCGACCTCCCAGCCCATCTGTGCTGCGTGCACGGTCAAATGCCACCACTACGAGTGGTGATTCACGCCTGGTTATTGTTAATCTACATGTCGCCGGTATCCAGCGACCTCTACGAGCGCTCCTGGATTCAGGAGCGACAAACAATTTCCTTCGTGAATCTTGCGTGTCAATGCTGCCACCCAGCATCCAGATCCACGAGGGACCTGGCCAAGTTGTTGTCAAGCTCGCTGACGGGAAACCACGCCGCGTATCATGGCGCGAAGTGTCGTTGTCGTACACGTTTGACGGCTTTCGCAGTAACGACAATTTCTTGGTGATTGAAATGAATTACTCATTCGATTGCATCCTGGGCATGCCATGGTTGGCACGCTATAAGCCCCAGATCGACTGGTTAGCCAGATCAGTGAGACGTCGAAGCAAGTTCGACATCAGCGAAGTGTTCACCCATCTCTTGGTGTCTCCAAGTAATTGGCCGAACGTTACAGTCGTGGATCGTACATCCACGACACCGGCGGTACACAGAGTGAGCGATGGCCCTCTCTGTACCGCTTGTTCCGTGCCCCTACGCACGAGTGATGATGTCTCCTCGCTTTGCAGCGAGGATTCCGACGTGGACGAGCAGTGGCTCCCGCGTAATGACGACGCGGACGAGCAGTGGCTCCCGCGCGACGACGACGCGGTCGAACAGCGGTTCCCGCACGAGAGAGCAGTGGTCGAACACGAACAAGTGTTTCCACCTGCACCCATTGTGGTCGAGCAGAGGCTCCCACAAGGGCAAGATGTGGCCGAGCAGGGGCTCGCCACCGAGTGTGACGTGGATGGACAAGAGTCCCCACGTGCGAACATGATGGTCGAACAGGGGTTTCCATCGTCGCCTACTGTGGTCGAACAGAGTTTCCCACATGAGCAAGACGTGGTCGAGCAGGGGCTCCCACACGAGTTTGTGGCGGTAGGGCAGGGGCTCCCGCATCATGCGTCGACGGACGAGTATGGACTACTCCCGTCACGCGATTTCGACGTCCTGGATGAGGACATCCAGCTTCTAGAGGTGGGGGGGTGCAGATTTAACACCTGACTGCGGTTCGCCAGCTTCGAGCATGGACTCGAAGCACGATGGGGGCGCAAGCTACGATAACTCAGCGTTGGAATATGGCCACGCTATTGTGTACGTGGACGGGCGTCCACAAAGGCGCCAATACATTGAGGTCGCGAGTCCACCTCGCGACGCGTCGTCGATTACGAGCCTTCCAGGACTCTCCTGGAAGCATTTTCTACGTGACCTCGAGGGAGGCACGGTGGAACAAGTATGTCTGGTCACCAACGAGGTGACCTATGAGCCGAATGAGGAGCGAATGACGCGCCCTCGAAGCGCTGATCAAAAGTCAGCGCGCGAAGAAAGATTTGCGTCGCAATATTGGGAGGCTCTGCGCGAGTCTGGTAACCCTGTTTACGACATTGCACGAGAGTACGCCGACGAGTTCCCGGACAAGATTCCGGCCGAACTCCTTGCCGATCGTGGCGTGCGGCACGAGATTGATCTCGTGCCAGGATCGAAATATTGTGTGACACGCCAGTGGCCGTTGCCTCGAGACCAAGTCGAGGCTATTGATGCATTCTTTGAAGGTCGTCGCAAGGCCGGTCATGTGCGTGAGAGTGTCTCACCCCATTCGAGCCCAACCTTCTGCGTGAAGAAGGCTACGGGAGGCTGGCGTATAGTGCATGCGTTTAACAAGCTCAACGATGCAACTATTCCTGTCCAAACGCTTATCTCCAGGAAAGACATGGTTCTAAACTCCATGTCAGGTAGCGTCATCTTCAGCGCCATCGATCTGACCGATGGCTTCTACCAGATCTTGATGCGACAGAGTGACAAACCACTCACTGCTGTGTCCACCCCGAGTGGTATGCTATGGGAGTGGCTGGTGATGCCACAAGGATTGGAGAACGCACCAGCCACTTTCAATCGCATGGTATGTCAAGTGTTGAGACCGCTTCGAGACTTTGCTCCTAGCTACTTCGATGACATTTTTGTCCACAGTCGCGCTGAGGGCAACCTCAGTGCTGTCCAAGTTCACCTTCAACACCTGAAGCAGGTGTTTCAAGTCATGCGAGATAACAAGTTATACGCAAACTTGAAGAAGTGTGTATTCTGTGCACCGGAGATTCCGGTGCTGGGCTGCTACGTGAGTAAATCTGGTGTTCGAGCCGATCCAGAGAAGGTGTCGTCAATCTGTTTTTGGCACACACCCAAGAACCCTACGGAGTTGCGTCCATGGCTCAATTTAGCTAATTACTTGCATAAGTACACAAAGGATTACGCCGGTTCTATACAGCCCCTGTCGTCACTTCTGAAGAAAGACGCCACGTGGTCGTGGCGTCCCGAACATCAAGCAGCCTTTGACGCAGTGAAGAAGAGCCTGGCGTCGGCGCCAGTGTTGATACTCCCTGACTACACCAAGCCGTTTCACGTGGTGTGTGATGCAAGTGACTTTGCAATTGGTTGCGCCCTCATGCAGTTCGATCATGAGGGCCGTGAACGAGTCGTGAGCTACCAGTCACGACAGATGAAGCCGGCAGAGAAGAACTATCCGGTTAACGATAAGGAACTGCTAGAGATGCGCTATGCACTCATCAAGTTTCGTGTCCACCTACTGGCCAAAGCACGTTCGCCCTGTATACTGATCATGCATCGCTGCGAACAGCAATGAAGAGCCCACACCTGTCACAGCGGATGGCATGGTGGCTCTCTTTCTTCTCCGAGTACAACTTCGTCGTGCACTACAAGCCAGGCAAGACCAACATTCTTGCTGACGCACTGTCACGACGCCCAGATTACGATCCTCGTATGGCACTGAGTCGTCAGGCAACTGACGACGAAGATGAAGACGATCGATGTGCGACGTTTGTGTCGTTGAATCTAACTCGGGTCACACCCGAGTTATGCCTTTTCGATGAAATTGTCGCGGCTTACGCGAACGACCCGGATTACGCGGACATTATTGCCTATCTGCGCGCTCCCAGTGAGGCTGCACTGGGAGCTCTTTCGCGAACGAAGCGTAATCACATTCAACGATAGAGTATGTACGGTGATTTGCTGTAATATAGCATCGACCAATTCGATGCACCTCGAACGGTGATTGCGAATGACTTTAATCTGCGTGCTCGTATCATCCACGAGTACCATGATGCCCCAATTGGCGGTCATCTGGTCCGCGAAAAGACATTCGCGGCTGTCTCGCGTGACTTCTTCTGGCCCCACATGTACAAATGGGTTCGCAACTGGGTTCGCACCTGCGAAATATGTCAGCGCGTGAAGCCATCTCCATCGTCGCAGGCACCCCTGCGACCCCTGCCATTTGCAGCTGAGGCTTAAAGCTCAGTCTCAATGGATTTTATCTTCGGGCTTGCACCAGATGGCCAAGACCGAACGGGTATTCTGGTCTTTGTCGACAGATTCAGCAAGATGACACATCTGGTGCCTGTTCATGCAACGATCACCGCGGCTGAGACCGCGGTGCACTTCAGTGACACTGTGTTTCGCCATCACGGTCTACCAGACAACATTGGCTCGGACCGTGATCCTCGTTTTACATCTGCTTTTTGGACGTCATTGTTCGAGTTGCTTGGCACAAAGCTGCAAATGTCGACAGCAGCCCATCCGGAAACGGATGGGCAAACAGAGCGAGTTAATCGGGTCCTCGAAGATGTTCTTCGAAGTTATGCAACGTCCTTTACAAGTTGGAGTGCGTTTTTGCCACTCGCGGAGTTTGCACTAAACAACGCGGTTTACGCGTCAACGGGATTGACGCCTTTTTTTGCAAATTCGGCCCGTCATCCTCGTGTACCTACTCTTCTTGCCGTGGGTCAGCCCACGGCTCTTCGTGGCTCCACTCTGGCGGGGGGTGAAAACGATAAACAACGATCGAGTGAAGATCACGGTATTCTGAGCGCGAATGTTGTCAACCATTCCAAGGCGAAGTCTTCTGTTTCGACGCCACATGACGTGGCGTCCCCGCTCGCTCAATGGACTGCACAGACGCTGATCGACCCTTCTTCGAGTATGCGAAACCCTAAAGCTAACTACGCGCCGATTGAATCGGCGCGACCAATTGATGACATGGCTGTGTCAGAGTTTATACTCCAACGTCAAGCCATCACGAGGTTTGTACGCGATACTCTTCGATCTGCAGTGTATAAACAGAAAGCGAATGCAGACAAACGTGGAAGAAAGAACACGAGTACATTCAAAAAGGGTGATCGTGTATTGTTAACTACCGAAGGCCTACGAGATTCAGCAGTAACCAATCTAGGCGCGAGCAAACTCGCGCCACGTTTCATCGGACCATTCACGGTACTCAAGGCGATCGGCGTCGAATACACGCTGGCCATCCCTTCGTCACTGCTACTTCACCCTACCATGTACGTCGGGCGGCTCAAGGAGTACCGTCCAGCTACGCTTCACGGGTTGGCTCCGTCCTCGGAGTCAAAGCCTTCCCTCTCGCCTTGCTCGACGCGCCAGCGACATCGGACGCGGCTGCGTCCCAGTCTGCGCGTGCCCATGAACCTGGCGTTCCAGGTTCCGCATCCGTCCAAGCAGCTCGCGGTACGACTGTCGAATCTCGTTCGCTGTTCTCTCAGCCCGCGCAGCTCGGTCAAGGGCAGCTTCAGCCTCCAGCTGGGCATCAACAGCCTTGTTCAAAGCCGCATCTACATCGTCCTGGGCAACCAGGACGCCAGCAGTACCATCGTGAGGGTCCACCACCGCTTGTGGACGCGGAAGGCCAGAAGCGCTGGATTGTGGAGCGTTTACTGGGTCACGAGGACCCTCGTCGCGACACCATGAGCGCGCGGTTCCAACCGCGCGCAAGTATCGTGTACGTTGGCTCGGGTTTCCACCCGAGCAGGATACGTGGGAACCGCGCTCTTCGCTTCTTCGAGACGTTCCGGACGTCGTTCGGGCTTACGAGTCCCTGCACACGCTTGGTGCAGACTTGGTCGACGACCTGTGTGTTCTCGCGGTGAGCGAGAACGAGATGCACGACGACGGTGTCGTGGTGAAGTGTCACCACGACTACGAGTCCGAGAGCGATTGCGAGAACGTCGTGGTGACGTTTCACCACGACGACGAGATGAAGAGCGACGACGAGAACGTCGCGACGAGCGTGTATCGCGACGATCACGCGAACGAGAACGTCGTGGCGAGTGCATGGCACCACGACCTCGAGAACGCGAGTGGTGTCGCCAGCGTGACGCGCCACGATTAACCGCAGTCTTGCGCTCCATCAAGCTGCTCTTGTATCGTCCGATCCAGAGCTGTTCATACTCGCTGAGTGGATACTCAGCGACGTGTCGTTGCCAAGCTTCGCGAGTTGGACGAGGCATCGAGTCACAGGAATAACAAGATTCGTGCATGGAACGTAGCAGAGTCGATCTACGTTCCATGCGTTTTCACAGATCTTCTCGCGCAGTACACCGATGGAATGATCGGCGTGGATATCTTCACGATTGGCCAGCCACTGCTGAAAGTTTCGTCCGTCTTCAAGCATCCGGTTCCACCGCCGGATGAACGCACACCATGACCGCTGGAGCGACTCGTACGAGATGCCATCAAGACTCTTTCCACGCAACCCACGGAAACGCTGGAAGTAGTCCTGCATCGTTTCGAGAGAGTCCGGAGCTCGAGCTCCGGACAAGTCATACAGCGCCCAAGGGATCAGGTGCCGATCCATCACGTGGTCGACTAAACTCCCGCTGATTGTGCGCGGGAGTGCTGTGGTGTTGGCGTCTGCGTCTTCAGTCATCGTTTGGCTTGTGAGTCGTTGGGTGTTGTGGTTGAGCACTCACGTTTCGTGAGTGCTGTCTTGAGAAGGGGGTGATGTAATGGGCCACCCCGTTACATAAGTAGGTTCGATTAAGTTTACATGTTACTTAAGTAGGGGTGTTACTTTCGGAGTAGCGAAAGTAGCACGTCGTATATTTTTGCTGGTTTAATGGGCTCAGTACCATTATTAGCCAGTAAGATATAGGCACGTAGATTGAGTGGTTCCCATGAGTCCAAGGGAACCATTCGTACTTAGGATGATTTAAAAGACAAAAATATAAACAGAGTTAAAAATGCTTAATACCTAAGACTTGGGCTTTAAGCTTCCTCAAAGCGTTAGAAATAGTGTACGCTAAGTACGGGTCATTCTAGCCCCGTTATATAGTGCGTGCCGTCGCGCAACACAATCTCTCTCATGAATATGAGACAGGAGCGTCGCTCTCGAGCAAAATTAACTTGTTTCAGTCAGATGACGTCCAAGACGTCAGCAGCGACGCTTAAGATGTTCTGCAGCGCGCGGTACCCCGCAGTGTGCACTCGATGCTTCGAGGCATCAGTGGAGCGATCAAGAAGTTCGGGTGTACAAGATAGGGAAAGACATTCACGATGCACGGGACGGATGAATTCCTTCCCGACCCAATCATGATACGATTAGTCTTAACTTCTGCACTTGGCAGCCGAAGGCCTTTTTCCAGTCTATTGAAGCGCGTGGCAATCGTGATTTTGCGATACTAGTCGTTTTCGATATTTGTACCGAAGTGGTCATAGACCTTTTGGCCTCAAGTGAACAAGACGCGAAGTTAAAGCGCTCGGAAGACCTAAAGAAAAGAGTCCACATTGTGTGTAGAGCAGAAATTTTTTATACTTATGAAGACATAGTGATGTGGCTGCAGGCGAGCAATCAGATAATAACTGTTGATCAAAAGGCCATGAACGACAAGAGTTAGCTCTCACACAACGTCTTTCGTATCGTTGTCAAGAGCAAGCAGAAGGACGTCTCAAGGAGACTTTCGTAAGAAGACCAGGATCGTGCGATGCTCGTCTTTAGTTTGGATTTTGTGCATTGAGCAGGCTTTGAGAGGCTTCGATGTTGAAAGGCAAGCTTCAAGTTGATGTACCAAGAAAGTGGTACCAGTATCACTTTTGATATCATCTTTGCGCCGAGCAACTGTGGGAGTTTCATTTTATGATTTCTTCTGCAGAAAGGATTTGATAGCTAGCCAGGAGATAACGAAACTAATAACACTCTCTCTTTTGCATTTAATTGTGTGTCCTCTGTCTCTACCTTTGTGTATTGACTTCTAACAGGTTATGAGCCCAAAGCACGGGGCACTCAGGGGTGACACGCGCGACGGCGCGTATGCGGAAGCAGCCCCTGCCACTGGTCACGAAAGGGTCAGTGAGCATGAAGATTATGAAGAGAAGAGCAAGCAAGGTGTTGTCCATGCGGTGGACAATGCTGTCACCAGGAGTGACGACGCGTCAGAGCTCCTGGTGCTGATGAAAGGGATAATCGAACGTCTGGATAGGCTAGAGGAGTCGCAGACAAGGTTGATAAAAGCTGAGGAAGGGCGTGGAAGACATAGGGACGCGCCTATGACTCCGCCTAGACATTCAAGTTTGTTTGTTTCGGCTTTGGGAAGTGGAACAAGAATGCACATGGACAACTTGGAAGGGTCCAATGGTGCGCCGGTATTTACTCCGAGGAGACCGGTTGAAGGGCAGATGTCGTTTGGTGCTGGACAGCCCGAATATAATGGACCCAGCCAGGACGTTCGCGGTCAAGTTGCACCAGGACTTGGAATTCCTGATATGTTGCCCCAAGCTGGAGGACATGGGTACATGCAACATCCCGACTTAAATGGATACGGTCATGCACAAGGAAATATACTTCAAGTGCGATATCCTGATGCAAGGCAAAAGAAGCTCGGCATTCGGCCGTTTGATGGAAGCGAACTGTATGAAGGACTTGGTTCTGGATTCTTGGAGTGGGGTCGGAGATTCGAGCGACAAATTTCTTTGGCGCAGTCATCTTGTGGATTTGAATGGCCTGAAGATGTGAAAGTGGATTTGCTTGGTTTGTATCTCTCTGGGACTGCAGATAGATACTATAACAGACAAGTTGCGATGTGGTGGAGTCAATTACCCACTTTGCAGTACGTAATGGAGAAAATGCTTGAAGCATTCAAGACAAGTATAACACCGGCCCAAGCGATGAAACTTTTTACGCAACGTAAGAACCCGAACCGTAGTTGGCCAGAACATTACATGTATTTGGCGGCAATTTCCGAAGTTTGTGGAAACGGTGGTGATTATTTGGTTCTGGACAATATTGTGCAATACGCCTCTGAGGCTATGCGAACAATTTTACTGGCAAAAGTTGATCACACGAGAACGGACTACCTGGTACAAGCAGAACAGCTCGCTCACTTTGCGCAAGCGTATGAGTTACACACTGGGAGAGAAAGAACTCTCGGGCGAGAAAAAGTGAGCACAAGAGAAGTCGTTAATTCTGTTTCCGATCGACAACGCAAGGAAACGCGTAGATGTCACTTTTGTCACGAAGTTGGACATTTGCAGGGAGCGTGTCCGAAACGCAAGCGACCACAAGGACCTCGAACAAATTTGTCGCTTGCTGTGAATGAAGTCTCAAGTCAACAAGACGATGTCTGGATCTTGGATAGCGGATCCAGTAGACACTTGGTCAGTGATGAGTCGTGGCTTCACAACGTCGAGTCGTGTGAAGGGGTTTGTCATCAACCCGATGGATAGCCGCTTCTTATAAGCAAAAGAGGCACTGTGACAATTAACGTCTTGGCTTGTGGAGTTGAGCGTGTGCTGACTCTTACAGATGTATACTTTGCTGAGGGTGTGAAGCATAATTTAATTTCGTATGGAATCTTGGACCGAAAGGGTTACACACTTGGAAACAATGGAACTCAACGTGTTATATCCAATACAGTTACTGGAGCTGTGGCTTTTGATGTTCAATTGGTTGGTAACGTTCTTGTGGTGCCGTGTCGAGTGATGGATAACGATGTTGAACCGGTTGGAGTAATTATGGCGGTCTTGGGTGAAGAAGCAAGTGTCCAAGTGTCTTCCGCTGTCCAAAATGGCAGTTTAATGGACTTTCACAAGCGTTTTGGCCATTTAAACTACGAAACGATAATAAAATTGGCTACAGATCCTTATTGTGATTTTTTGCTTACGGACAAGCGTCGCGATTTTTGTTACACTTGCTCACAAGGCAAACAGACCAAGAACAAACAGCAAAGGCACGACTCTGGGCAACAATCACCTATTGACAGGATTGGAGGTGTTATTTGTTCGGACATCAAGGGCCCGATGGCTCCAAAGGATCGGCTAAATAATCGCTATATGATCAACTTCGTTGATCATAAGAGCAATTATTGTCGTGTATTTCTTGCTCGCACTAAAGACGCTCCAGCAAAGAAATTTAAAGATTTTCTGATTTTTTTCGAGAAAAAATTTAATTGTCGTGTGCACGTTCTTCGCACGGACTCAGGAGGAGAGTACCAGAATGTAGATTTATTCTGCAAGAAGTCGGGCGTTGCAAGACAGCGAAGTGAAGCAAGAAACCAAGCCAGCAATGGAAAGGCTGAGCGCATGCATCGGACCATCATGAATATGGCCCGTTGCATGATATTTGCGTCAGGATTGCCACTCAATTTCTGGGGTGACGCGGTTGAATATGCTGCTTATATTTTGAACCGGGCCCCTACAAATTCGAATGCTGAGCGAATGTCACCGATGAAGGTGCTGACGGACCAGACCCCGTCGCTAGGTGAAATTGTCGTTTTTGGATCACCATGTACAGTGTACAGAGATCCTAAGAAGAAGAATTTTGCTCCTAGAGGACAAAAAGGGATTATCATTGGCATTGGTGAAGAAACCAAAAGGTATCGTGTATACCTGCCGAAGGATAAAGTGGTTGTTGTCTCGCAGCATGTTCAAAATATTGAGACACTGAACAAGACCCAGAACAAGCAAGTTCAAGAATTGTATCTGCAGAATCCTACTAGTCTGGAAGATAATGACTCCGCGCGAGATCAAGTTCAGGAGGGAGGTAATACCAGATATCAAGATCTGGAGGAGGCGACGAGTCGTAAGGACCAGACACAGAATATGAAGAAAAGGACTCCGTGGACAAGAAAGAAGAAGGTTGTGACAAGATCGGCGAGCAAGAATAAACACTCAAGCCAGGGACAAAGAACTGAGAGTTCAGCGATGGATACTGACGTTGTCAATGTTGTCACAACATCTGACCCGAGAAACTTTGGTGAAGCTATGCGTAGCAGTCACAAGGAAGGATGGATGAAGGCAATTTCTGAAGAATTGCAAGCCTTGGAGAACAATGGAGTTTGGAGTATTGTGAAGGCTCCAAAAGATATTCGAGCACTTCACTCGAAGTGGGTTTTTAAGACGAAGCGTGACGCAGAAGGTGGCATCGAGAGATTGAAGGCGAGATTGGTCGCGTGTGGAAATGAACAAGTCTTTGGAGTGAACTATGGAGTTACGTTTGCTGCTGTGATTGATATGTCCAGCGTGAAGATGATTTTCGCACTGGCAAGAAAGTGGAAGGTGCCTGCGAAGCATGGAGATGTTCCAAATGCTTACGTTAAAGCAGACAAGGAAGATAATCTCGATATCTACATCCACGTACCACAGGGCATGCAGATTGCAGAGGACTTAAAGAAGAAGATCGGTGTTTCACAGAACTACGAGATTGTTTTGGAGCTGAAGAAGGCACTATATGGATTAAAACAAGCAGGAAGACTATGGAGTAAATTGCTACACCAGAAATTGGTTGATATTGGTTTTAAACAAAGTCTCACGGACATGTGTGTCTACTTTAGATGGACACGTGGTCATCTATTGATTGTTGGAGTTTACGTGGATGACCTTCTGGTAACAGGAAGTGATCAGGGTTCTGTGAATTCTTTTTTTGATGAGCTCAATTCACTATCGGTCAAGGATCTTGGATGTGCTCGCAAGTTTTTGGGTATGCGTATTCAATACAATGACGAAAATGGGTACACTTTTGATCAAGAAGTTGGAATTATGGACATGCTGAAGGAGCATGGTCTCGAAATGGGACATAGCGTGCGTGTTCCAATTACTCAAGACTGGAACGATAATGAAGAATCGGTAGCTGTGCCGTTACCGGTATTTGGAGGAGATGGTGTGGTTACGGTGAAAGTTTTCCAGTCACTTGTGGGAAGTTTACTATGGATTTCGCGTTACACCAGACCAGATATCGCTTTCGCGGTGCATAAAGCGTCAAGAAGGACTCATAAGCCCACGATGGGAGATTATAAGTTGGCCAAGAAAATTGCAAGGTATCTATCTGGCACGAAGACATTGCGACTTTCTATGATTGGAAGAGAAGATGAACCAGAGCTGTTACAAGTGGTTGGGTACAGTGATGCGGATTTCGCTGCCGACAAAGGTGACAGAAAATCTGTCACGGGTGGTTTAATTACGATTGATGGCATGCCAGTGAGCTGGATGTGCAAGAAGCAAGGCGGTGTATCACTTTCGACCATGGAGGCTGAGTTTACAGCTGCATCCATTATGGCTCGAGAACTTTTGGGCATTCGCGAACTGTTGCAAGAGTTAGATTTGAGATTTGAAGAGCCTATACCACTGCGAGTGGATAACCAAGCGGCTTTGAAACAACTTGACGGTGAGAGAGCTTCGGCTAAGGCCAAACACATTGATGTGCGCATCAAGTTTGTCGGTGATTTCGCGAAGCGAGGAATCATAAAGCCTGAATATCGAGAAACTTCGAGTATGCCTGCGGACATACTAACAAAGGCATTGACTGCACCGAGATTGGTCGAGATGCGTCAAGTGATCGGTTTAAAATAATCGATCGGAGTCGACGATGACAGAGCAAGGATCAAGTGTTTTGTCAGGACAGTGTCGACGAGGAGGAGTGTTGAAAGGCAAGCTTCAAGTTGATGTACCAAGAAAGTGGTACCAGTATCACTTTTGATATCATCTTTGCGCCGAGCAACTGTGGGAGTTTCTTTTTATGATTTCTTCTGCAGAAAGGATTTGATAGCTAGCCAGGAGAAAACGAAACTAATAACACTCTCTCTTTTGCATTTAATTGTGTGTCCTCTGTCTCTACCTTTGTGTATTGACTTCTAACATTCGACACACAGATGCAGATGGCATTCGGCAGCAAAAGGCCGGAATCATTAAACCGTCACTGCTGATGTTGACGCGCGTAATTTAACTTTTGGCCGGATCAGGTGGAAGAGGAATAAATGCGCTGTTCGATGCAGAAGACTCACGCGGATTCTTCAAAATTCACACGGCGGTCACACGCGCATATAATGGTCTGCTACATGATTATAGGCAACGGCTTATACATAAACCAAGCTTACGTTGCCATTTGCAGCCTGAGATTTTTTTTTCCTAGATTCACCCAGAGTACATGTCCATTTAGTAAGGTCAAGGAGGCCATCGCTCGATGACTAGTGATTTTAGCAGAGGGCATGGAGTAATTCACTTTTAGCTGTGCCATGCATGTTTAGTGTTAAGGGTTTAGGGTTTAGGGTTTAGGGTTTAGGGTTTAGGGTTTAGGGTTTAGGGTTTAGGGTTTAGGGTTTAGGGTTTAGGGTTTAGGGTTTAGGGTTTAGGGTTTAGGGTTTAGGGTTTAGGGTTTAGGGTTTAGGGTTTAGGGTTTAGGGTTTAGGGTTTAGGGTTTAGGGTTTAGGGTTTAGGGTTTAGGGTTTAGGGTTTAGGGTTTAGGGTTTAGGGTTTAGGGTTTAGGGTTTAGGGTTTAGGGTTTAGGGTTTAGGGTTTAGGGTTTAGGGTTTAGGGTTTAGGGTTTAGGGTTTAGGGTTTAGGGTTTAGGGTTTAGGGTTTAGGGTTTAGGGTTTAGGGTTTAGGGTTTAGGGTTTAG